GCGGCCGCAGGAGGCGGGGAGAAGCCCAGTCCTCTGGCTCCCTCCCTTTTGCTGCAGCACAGCCGCCCCGGCCCGGCTGGCGTCCAGGGTGCTGCTTCTGGAGGCGCCGTGCCGGCTGTGCCCCACAGTCACTTTCTGCCAGGGCTGGCACCTCCCACCTCTCCACCTGTGCCGGCAGCAGCTGCTGCTCTGTCTATGCCAAGGCCACCGCAGGGCCAAACTCCACCGTACTGCCACTGCCCGACTTGCACTTGTGGTCCAAACAGCGGACCCGCAGGCAATGGCCTTGGACCCCAACCCAGGGCATGCTAGGTACCTTCCACAGCTCTTTTAGAAGCTGCATAGTCCAAGGGAATAGTCGCCTAAGTGTTCCAATAAACTACCTGAATACAAAGCCTTTGCCAGTCGTCCTGTCCTGTATTTACAGTGGAACCCCACTCAGGCCCTAACATGAGAGCACAGCAACAGGCCAAAATCAAGGGAGATGATTGATTCCTTTTCATTGAAGAGAAGGTGTGGGCTTGCTGACCAGCAAACAGAAATGGAAAAGGATTTAGAATTTACTGTGTTGTATCAAGTGTCTGGAAAAAGTCACTCCAGTTCCAAGGTCCTTTGCTGACAAGCAGTCCTTGAAATAAAATATCGAGCACTGAAACCATTTCCTTCATTTTCCTAATGAATTAAAGAGTGAAACTATTGAGGCCAGTAATGGGATTAGCTTCCAACTGATCTGAGAGAGGAATCAAACTATTAGGTTTTTTTCTTTTGACATATTGGGAAAAAATACCTTTTTAGAAGTAGGCAGTGACATAAAGTTTCACCCAGAAATGACTAGCACTATAGCATTATCGCTCTATTTCATGTAGGAAACGGGTTCAAGATGGTTATGTGTGTTGTATACACTACAATCACTCATCAATTCTGCTTCACAGTGGTGGTCTGTAATGTCAAATTTGAAGACGACACTTCCCCAAAATATTTTTGCATCTGTTGGCTTTAGAATGGCCTGGCTTCACCCCTGTATCTAGCTTCTTCCTAGAAACACCTGATTAATGTCAGTTGAGGACCAAAACTTATTCAATCCTCTCTCAGACAAAAATCTTGCTGGCCTCCAGGAGACTGTCATTGGCATTGGGTGTGCGGCACTGCTCCCTTGTTGTGTGATAAAGAGCCATGCTTTTCATTCTTAGTAAAATGTAATAAAATAAAAAGTCTTTAAACAAATCCAGAAGTGTTTTGAAGATCAGAGGAGAGTGGGATTAAATTTTGTGCCATGCACAGTGTGTCAGTATCCAGCTGCATGCTTTGCAGATTTGGGTACACAGGAGACTACCGCAGACAACTTCAATGGTATGAAATAAAATGACAGGCTGATGGGTCAGGCTCAAAGAGTTAGAGTAAATGGGGTTACATCAGGCTGCTGGCCAGTCACCAGTGGGGTTCCTCAGGGTTCAGTTTCAGGGCCAGTGCTTTTTAATGTTTTTATAAATGATCTGGATGCAGGAGTTGAATGTACATTAAGTAAGTTTGCCAATGATACTAAACCAGGAGGAGCTGTGGACTCCCTCGAGGGTAGAGAGGCCTTACAGAGAGATCTGGATAGACTAGAGAGCTGGGCAATCACCAACTGTATGAAATTTAACAAGAGCAAGCGCCGGATTCTGCACCTGGGATGGGGTAATCCCGGTTATATGTACAAATTGGGGGACGACAGGCTGGAGTGCAGTCCCACAGAAAGAGATCTGGGGATCTGGGTTGATGGTAAGTTGAATATGAGTCAACAGTGTGCCCTGGCAGCCAGAAGGGCCAACTGTGTCCTGGGGTGCATCAAGCATAGCATAGTTAGCCAGTCGAGGGAGGTAATTGTCCCACTCTACACTGCAGTGGTGCGGCCCCACCTCAAGTACTGTGTGCAGTTTTGGGCGCATCAATATAAGAAGGACATCAAACTATTACAGTGTGTCCAGAGGAGAGCGACCAAAATGATGAAAGGCCTCCAGGGCAAGACTCAGGAGGAGTGGCTGAGGTCGCTTGGTTTGTTCAGCTTGGAGAAGAGAAGGCTGAGGGGGGACCTCATCCCAGTCTACAACTTCCTTAAGGAGGGCAGTGGAGGGGGAGGTGCTGATCTCCTCTCTCTGGTGACCAGCGACAGGATACGAGGAAACGGAATGAAGCTGCATCAGGGGAAGTTCAGATTAGACATTAGGTAAAGGTTCTTCACTGAGAGATTGGTTGATCACTGGAACAGCCTCCCGAGGGAAGTGGTCATGGCACCAAGCCTGCCAGAGTTCAAGGAGCGTCCGGACAACGCTCTTACTCATATGGTTTAAGTTTAGGTAGTCCTGTGAGGAGCAGGGAGTTGGATTCAGTGATCCTTATGGGTTCCTTCCAACTCAAGATATTCTATGATTCTATAAGATGACCCTGAATCAAGAAGTGTGAAATGTATCTCAATTTTATAGGCAATTTAAAGACCAGAGGGTAAGTGCAGAATTGTTCATTAAGTTCACAGTGATGCAGACTCCAATCACAGGGTGGTAGTGCCTGTGCCACAGCCATGGGGGCACTAAAAGACCTTAATGGCCCAGCCCAGCCTCATCTGCGGCTTCCACACACACCCTGCCCATGGCCCAGGAGCCCTGTTTAAGCTCGGCTCTAGGCCTGCAGTCCCAGCTGGAGCTCTGCTGGAAGAGAGCTGGTCTCCAGCATAGCTGGGTCTGGCTCCCCCAGCTTCAGGCCTGCTCCTGACTTGAAGGCTAACTTTGTAGTGTGACCTCAGACCTGCTTGACCAGCAGGGACTTGTCTGATGATCTGGTCTCTGGGCTCACCCTGGCCACGCTCTCCGAGTCAGCCTCTCTCAGGTACTGTGGGGTGGGTGCTGATGAGGCCCCTGCCCTGCCAGCCCTGTTACCCCCAGCTCCCCATCCTGCATGGAGCAGCCAGCCCATGCTTTGCTCCGACACCTTCTTGGAAGGTATTTGTACCCTTGCATGGCTTGGGTTTGCTTCATATCAGTAAAAGACTGATATTTATCCTTTTTCCCCATGTTAATTCATGGATGGCCTGGTTTACTACCTCCACTTTGAAAGGGTGGAAATTGTATCTTCTGTACCAGTTTTGGTACAAAATCCCAGCTTTTTTCAACTCAAAGGGCAAGTTGGGGGTGCAGCTGAAGCACTAGTTTGGGGATAAAAAGGGACATCCAAAGTCATCTGCTTCTTATCTCCCTCTCTCAGGTGGTGAACTAATTGTAAGAAAAGAAAACACATTAGTTTATCTGTGACTGGTAAAGCTGCCCTTTCCTGTCCTGCAGCAAGTTGGCTATAGCCATCCAGGCCTCTGATGGCTCTCACCTGGATTATTTTTCTTTATTTGTGCAAGAGTAAGAAGCTCAGTCATATCAGCTTTGATGGGGATGAAAGATGGCAGACAGTTATGAGGTAGGACAAGCCAAAGGGAGCCTATTATGTCAGTACTCTGCAGTTTCTTCTGATTACTTACAGTAAGCTCTACAACAGGGTTTTGATGCTTAACAGGGTAAATGTGTGGGGCATTTAAAAATCATCTCCTTACAGAAAAACCCAGGAAAAGATGTGAGCATCCTGCATGCTGCAGCCCTGAGAGCTGTCCTAAGTCTAGCAAAAATGCAGCCTTCCCAAGTTCTGAGACAGCTTCTCTCCTAAACAAGGACAGCCTAATGTATAACGTTGTGTTGATTTGGGAAAGCCTGGTTGCTCTTTTGCCTCTGAAAACAAATTAGGTTTGGCACTTATTTTTTCCAGTTATTTAACACTCTTCCTTGTATTTTTGAAGGTTTTTATCAAGTTACTATAAAATAAATTTTCCTGTGCCTTCAGCTGTCAAAACACACACAAAAAAATTTTATTGCCAAAGACAAGGGAAAAATTGCTTTGTCTTGTTTGTCAGCCTCTTACCTCAGATACTGGGGGTTTTTCATAAAACTTTCCACCCTATTAAAAGCTATTTTCTCTTCAAAGTTTTGATGATAAAATGTTCATGCACTTTGTTCAATGGTAAATTTCACAGTATTTCCTACCATCTGCTTCACTGTAAAAGATTTTCGCCCTATGAAGACTAAATATATAAACACAGAAATGCAGATTTCATGTCAGCAAGTTCTTCTCCAGAGATTAGGAACTATTTGCATGAGCAGGGACAGTTAGCTTGATTGTATCTTAATATTGAACAGTCCCTAAATTGCTGGTTAAATAAAGCCAGACAAGACACAGATAGACTGATTTTTATTTATATAATGTATATAATTAAGATAATACAGAATCTGAAGGAGCTGTAAGAATACAAATCTATGTAAATAAAGAAATCAGATCTATGCAAATAACTGACTTGAGGCATGATGAAAGGAGTTTCCAGTTAAATTAAATTAACTGTTTGACCTGACAGATCTTGTTTGGGAGGGTTTTAACACTTCCTTAAACTTTCATGTATGAATCAACTTTTTTAAACAAAATACAAAAAAACAAAACTTTGTTGATCAGCCAATATTTTCACCCAAAACTATTTCATGTTGATCTGAATTTTAATTTTTCTTTTCCTCCTCCTTAAATACCATTTATTTGCTCTGGCATCTAACTTATTTACTGGAAAACATCTTGCTGCAGGAATGAGAGGTGGAATATTGTGAGCTCAGTGCCTCTCACTCTAATCAAAAAGACTGAGGATTGCACTGTAATATGCACATGAACCAGGAGTCAGTGCAGAAAGAGAAAGACAGGGAAGATGTGATTTAGTCCCAAACAAAAGTCTAGCTGACGTGGACACACAGTATTTGGAGGAAGGCAAGTGTTATCTTACCTGACCCTCAGTGACAGTTGCAGAACAGCCTTGTAGTATTTTCCAGAGTCTAAAACCTGACCAAGTGCGGTTGATGTATGCTGAGCAAAATAGAATGGTTTCAAAAGTGACCCATCATGCTACACACCTCACATGGGTCTCAAGAATCTTGTGTTCGCTCAGTGCCCAAAAGCAAGTATGAGACTTACTTACTTAGTCAGTTACATGAAAGCTTGGACTTTAGGCCTCAGTCTAGCAACACTTCTACAATTGCTGAACTCCATTCCTGTGGCTACTTGTCTTGATTGTTTTGGGATTGCTCAGGGTTGTAAAGTCAAGGATGTGTTTGCAGAACAGAAGCTCAACAATGCACAGGCTGCATTGGCAGGAGAGGAAGAAATGAAGCCTGATCTTTTTACGTATGAAACTACTCAGAAACCATGTATGCTTTATGGAATATGTGGTACTTAAAATGCAAGTGCTGTGTTGAACTCTGTTTCTCTGGAGGAAAATAACTTCTC